GGCCAGGTAAGGCGGCTGCACCATGGAGGCAGGTGAGGGGCTGGCAGGGCTGGGGTGCCCTGCCCCAGGGAGGGAGGGGGGGTTTGGAGCTGCCCCCCCCCGCCGGGGGCAATTGCAGCCAGCTGCACCCCTGAGAGCGGGGCCGGGGCAGCTGTCCGCAGTGCTGCAGGGTGATGGGGTGATGGGGGGTGTCCTGGCCCTGGCACGGGGGGGGTGGAGCCGTGTCTCCGGTGGCAGGGCCGGCATCACTTATTCATGGAGGTCAGGGCATGGGGCACGGCGCTAGCTGGCAGAGGGAGGACTCTCAGCCCCTCTTCCCTGCAACCCCCCTGGGGCTAACAGAGCTACCCCGGGGGAGCAGGGGGCACGGGTGGGCACCAGCACCCACCAGGGGCCTGATCCTGACTCCAGGGGGTGGGAGCTTAGTCCAGGCTCCTCATCCCACCTGGACTAGTCTCCCCAACCCCCGAAATGCCTCCATCTCCTGGCAGCCCCGGCCCCCGATCCCAGATCCCCGGCCCCGTTCACTTGGGCTCCCCTCCCCGCCGGTGTCCTGTTTCCGACGCCGCATTAATTTGCACGTATCGAGCGCTGCGCCAGCTATTATTCCCCTCCTCTCTGGGCCGGGGGGAGCCGTATCTCCCGGTGTCTTTGTCTGGGGGGTGCTAACGAGGCTTGATGCTGCTTTAGGGCTTCGCACCAGCCGGACATGAGAAGCTGGCCAGGCCCCACACGAGCTTCGCGGACGCCACGGCTGGGACCCAACCTGGCCCGACGGGACACGTGGCCTGGGGGTCCCTGACGCCCGCCCCGGTGGGAGAGCCATGCCCCTGCACACCTGGGATCTCTGGCAGGAGGAGACCTGAAGGGCCAAGATGTAACCGCACTCCCCGACGCCGCCGGGACCCAGAGCGGGGCGCGTCTCTGCCCTCCCCGACCCCATCATAGACCGCCCCGGACCCCGGGGTCCCCGGATGCCTCGGAGCCGCCCCACAAGCCATGGCCAATGGTGTGGGGCTGGGGCTCCCGGACGGGATGTACCCGTCGTCTCTGCACAGCTCGGTGAGCGAAGCCAGCACCGCCACCCGCTACCTGCTCAGCAAGCACAGCCGCCTGGCCAACGGGCACGCGCGGGGCCTGCGCGCCAGCTCGCCCATGGGCCGCGTCATCCTCATCAACTCGCCCATCGAAGGTGCGCGTCCGTCCCCCCGGGAGACCCTCGCCCCCTCCCCAGGCCTTCGCACGTGGCTGCGGGGTGGGAGGGGACCGTGGCACCTGGGTTGGGGCCGTGTGCCCGTCCATGCCAGCAGGGTCCGGGGGTCACCTCCTGGCCAGGTTGAGCGGGAAGCTGGGAGCCTGGACGCCTGGCTCCTGGCTCGGTGACGGAGGGTGTTTGCTGGGCAGCGAGACCCCCCATGCCGCTGCTTCTCCGTGCTGCACGCAGGGTCCGTGTCCCCTGTGAGACCGGACGCCTGGGTTCATCCTGGGCCTCAGTTTCCCCATCCCCAGCATGGGAGTGCTAGCCCCTGTGCCTCCTTGGGGAGCATCACCCTACCGAAGCCTTTATGTCGGACCGGGGTCACCCGGTGCTTCCCATCAGACATCCCTGTCTCCTGACACTGAAACCTTTGCTGAACTTGACCTGTATGGACTGACACGCGGCAGCCTCCGGGTCTGCTTCCGGCTTGGATTGGGAAACCCCAACCCCAGCAAGTGGGCCAGACTGAGTCTCTTGCTGGGGAGTGGTGAAAAATAGGTTGTTTTTTGGGTTAAAAACCTCTTTGCAAAGCCATGAAGGCCTCAGACTGATGTCAGGGACCCAGCCTGGGAAAACCCAGCCCATCTGCACTGGGAAATGCATCCTTTCCACATGCTCAGTAGCCGCTATATCAGGGGTGGGCAAAATGCGACCCGGGGGTCAGATCCGGCCCACCAGGCCATTCAATGTGGCCCATGGGGCCTCTAATAAATTTAGAAAATTAATATTTATCTCCCCTGGGCTGCCTGTCATGCAGCTCTCGATGGTTTGTCAAGACTCAGTAAGTGGCCCTCCGCCCAAAATAATTGCACTATATCCCCGCTGACTCCATCCACGCTGAACAAGGGTCTCTCAGCCTCCGTGCCCAGGATGTGGTGGTGGACGGGTCATTTTCAGCCTGGAAGGAGGTGGGCAGTGGTGTCCCGCAGGGGTCGGTCCTTGGACCGGTATTATTTAATATCTTCATCGGCGATTTGGACGAGGGTCTGGAGAGCACCCTGTGCAAGTTCGCAGATGACACCAAGTTCTGGGGCGAAGTTAACACACCGGAGGGCAGGGAGCGGGTACAGGCGGATCTGGACAGGTTGGAGCAATGGGCACAATGAAATAGGATGCAATGCCACAAAGACAAATGCAAGGTGCTGCACCTGGAGAGGGTCCAGAGGAGGCCACTCGCATGATTAGCAGCCTCCGTGCAAGACCCTACGAGGGGAGGTTGAGGGATCTGCATCTCTTCAGCCTTCACAAGAGACGGCTGAGGGGTGATCTTGTAGCAGCCTATAAGTTTATCAAGGGAGGACAACAGAGAGTTGGAGATGCCCTATTTACCCGGGCACCCCTAGGAGTAACTCGGAAAAATGGGTGCAAACTAGCGGAGGGTAGATTCAGGTTAGACATTAGGAAGAAATCTCCCAGCCACGGGCGGATCTAGGATCTTGAAAAGCGGGGTGCAGACGGAGCAATGCGTCATCCCACTTCACACAACACAGCGGATCTAGGATCTTGAAAAGGGGGGTGCAGATGGAGCAATGCGTCATCCCACTTCACACAACACTTATTTTCCTCCGGTGAAAAAGAAACGGGACGTTTTACCCACACGCCGGGGTTTCGGCCTGTATTATTTAGTTTAAGTTTGAAGCGAGAACAAATAGAGCTGCACTGGACGGTGCTCTGATTTCTTATATGAAAAGGACTTCCCCTGTCCCGGGCTGCTGAGGAAATCACCCCCAAAAAGTTAGGTGCTGTCACCTGTGCCGCCAAGCTGGGTGCATGCCAGCTGGTCACGTGTCACGTGTGTCATTGCCGTGTCTCCGCAGCCAACAGCGACGAGAGCGACATAATTAATGCCATCACGGTGGAGAAGAGCGCGGACGGGAAGCTGGGGTTCAGCGTGCGCGGCGGCTCTGAGCACGGCCTGGGCATCTTCGTTAGCAAGGTCGAGGACGGCAGCGCAGCCGGTGAGTGCAGGCACCCGGTGCCCTCCCCGGGGGGCACCCCACGTCCCAGCATGCACTGCTCTGTCACACACGGACTGTAAGGATGGAGTCCAGGAGTGTGCCACCGCTCTGCTTCGTGGCCCTGGTCATTTCACGTCCCAGCCTTTTGCCTCAGTTTCCCCACTCTGTAAAATGAGCGCGGTGACGCTGACACTCACCGCGGAAGGGGGCTCCGGGGTCTGTGCCTGGAGAGCTCTGGCCATGGGCACAGGGCAGGAGGTGCTGCTTGGGGAAAAGGGGGCCAAGGAGCCCAAATTATTCCAACCGGGGTTCGGTGCATCCATGGGGGTGCAGCCAGCAAGGGGGTGGGCAGAGCTGGCTGTGACGGCCATGGGCATGGTGCCCGAGGTGGCACCTCCCGGCCCTGAGACCTCAAGTCCCCCCTGCTCCTCCTCGGACCCGGACGCACACCCCTTCTCCCCGGATCTCAGCCCCTGCTCCCCCACTCCCAGAGCTGGCCGGGCTGTGCGTCGGGGACAAGATCACGGAGGTGAACAGCATCAGCCTGGAGAGCATCACCATGGGCAGCGCCGTCAAGGTGCTGACGGGCAACAACCGGCTGCGCATGGTGGTGCGGCGCATGGGCAAGGTGCCCGGCATCAAGTTCTCCAAGGAGAAGACGGCCTGGTGAGCGCAGGTGCCCTCGGCCCTGGGGTCGGGAGTGAGGGGCACTGGCGCGCCGGGGTGGGCACAGGTGCTCACAGGCGCTCCCGGCAGGGTGGACGTGGTGAACCGGCGCCTGATCGTGGAGCGCAGCGGGTCGACGCCGTCCGACAGCAGCTCAGAGGATGGGCTGCGGCGCATCGTGCACCTGTACACCACCTCCGACGACTACTGCCTCGGCTTCAACATCCGCGGCGGCCGCGAGTTCGGCCTGGGCATCTACGTCTCCAAGTACGTCCCGCTGGCATCGCCCTGGTGCTTCCCTGCGCTGTCTGAGCCCCCCCGGGGCTGCCCCGGCCCCACGGAAAGGAGGGGGAATGCAAAGCGTGTCCACCCGAAGTGGGGGTGGGTAATGAGGGGTGGAGCCTGGCATGGGCAGCTGGCCCTTTAAGACCAGAGCATGCTGGGAGCTGTAGTTTTTGTGCTTGGAGGGGGTGGTCAGTTGTCCAAGTGTCACATGACTGCCAAATGGGGACTGGATAAAAGGGGTGGCTAGATGGGTGGGGGAAGGCCATGTGCATGCATGCATGCTATAGGGCGCGTGGGGTTGGACTTTGCAGCTGGCTCCTCCTGGCCACGTCCGTGCATGGGTCGTGTCCTTCACCAGGCCTGCCCCCGCTCTGCACACAGCCGGGGGAAGGGGATGGAGAGAAATCACGGCCTCTGGCCTGGGGCAAGCTGGGTGCTTGGCTGCCAGGGCAGGGGAGATCCCCGGGACCCCCTTGAAACGGGTCCTGGATGCCCCGAGCAAAAGCAGCCGCTGGCCGAGAGCGTCCGGCCACGCTCAGGGAGGGCTCCGTGGCCTCGTGGGCCAAGCCCCCCGCGCTGTGCTCGGCAGGGTGGACCCCGGCGGGCTGGCGGAGCAGAACGGCATCCGCGTGGGAGACCAAGTCCTTGCAGCCAACGGAGTCAAGTTCGAAGACATCAGCCATAGCAAGGCAGTGGAAGTGCTAAAGGGGCAGACTCACACCATGCTCACCATCAGGGTAGCCTGCGA